CTGCTTTTTCTTGGCATGAGCTATCCATCACTGTTTGCTTCAGGCAGTTGGATGGAGCCAGGTCTTGGATTCAGATGATGGTGTTTGTGGGAGCTATCACTGATAAATATTCCCTGAGGCCAGGAATCATCTTGCTGTCCAGTATCCAGGATTCAGTGCTGTATCCCTAGACAGTCAGGCCTGGTTTCAGGTCAGGGAACCAAGACCCTGAATGTCACTCATCACAGCAATAGGGAGATTAAAGAAAAAATGGCAGGCAAATGGTAAAAGTAAGATCAAACAAAAACAAGATAAAAAAAAGTACACACACACACAGGAAACAAACATAGAACTAAAAAACAAAAGCAAGAAAACAAGCAGACAAACAAAAGAAACCAAAAATTAATTATAAACAAAACTAATAAAAACTCAAAACAGAAAACAAAACCAGAGTGAAAAATAATAAAGCCAAGAAAACAAATCAGACAAAAATAACTGAAAGAAAGAAAAAATCAGAACATAAAAGCAAATTTAAAATAGAACTAAAATAATACTATATATGTGTGCAATCTCAGTCCTTTCAGTTATGTCCTACTCTTTGTGACCTCATGGAAGAGCTCTTCTGTCCATGGGATTCTCCAGGCAAGAATACTGGAGTCAGTTGCTATGTCCTCCAGGGGATCTTGCCGACTCAGGGATCAACCTGAGTCTCTTCCATCTTCTTCATTGGCAGATGGGTTCTTTACAACTAATGCCACCTAGGAAGCCCAAAACTATATAGATATAAAATAAAGTATAATAAAATTATGTATATATATATATATATATATAGTAAAACTATATGCATATTTATAAAAGGAGAAGAAACATAGAACGACAGAAAACCAAAGTATAAAAATAAAAAGTATGATAAAAATAAATCTCAAAAGACTATAAATAAAAAATAATAAAAGCAATAAGTACAACAAAGGAGGAAGAAAATCACAAACAACAGAACAAATCAAGCCATAAAAATAATAATTTTTCTTAGGGTCTCAGGTTTCTCTGTCCTTGCCTCTGCTGTGAGCCACAGTCCACCTCCCCTTCCCTAGGAGGCTCTCCAATGCCTCTAGCATGATCTTTGGACCTGCTGTGGGCCCTGTAGGGACAGCTCAGACTATAATCTGGCCCTAATCTCATGTGTACTTGCCCCCATTTTCCACAGCGACCAGAGCTATATCATTTTCATTTGTGGGAACACTCATTGTCCTTTCATATATTTCATAGGTGCAATATAGAAACCAGTACACAATCTGGAACTTTTCAAAATTTCTATTATAAATTTTCTAGGAAAATTGATATATACTGATGTTGATAATTAACTTTTGACGTAAATAGAGCTCAATTCATCCAAAAAACATATAATGAGAACCAGAACACTAATTCTGAGTTAACCATAGCTACCTGAATGAATGCCAGGTGAAGGCTCAGGTAAAAAGCAAGAGAGGTAAGATATAGCCTAAATTAATTACAAGTTTATGATGCTTTCTTTGTTTTCTTGGTTCTTTTTTTTTTTTAGTGTGCAGCTCAACTTTTATTTTAATAAAATCAGAATATGCACAGCACATGCAGTGCTAGCATCTAAACTAATACAATAAGCAATTACTAAAGCTACAGTGACCTGAGGTTCAATCTTTACATTCAGCAAGTTTAAGTTCATTCTTACATGATTTTTGAAACCTTATTTATTAACTAAAAATACTGCTTGCTGATAAAACTTGCTCAAATGCTATCATTGAATGTATAAGTCACTGATTATGCCAATACAACAAAGATAACCACACGTTTCAGGATTGCAATGATTCAGACAGCCACTGGAAAAAAAAATACACACAGCGAAACAAAACACACAATATTTGAATATGGACACTTCATAGCGGTGTTTTGAAGTGTTTCATTAATATCTTAAGAAAAGTGTATCAAAACCTTGGCATGATTTAATTTAAAGTCAACAATTTTGTTTTTACTAACATCAGAAAGTTATGGCTACACTGCCAATGCCAGGTCTGATTAATTTGACTTAAGAGTTTAATATGACTTAACATTAAAAGCTCACACTACTCAAATATATAATTCCACGCATATGGTGATATTCAACATTCAATTGTCAGTGTTTTTGTACTGTCTTTTGGTCAAGTTTCTTTTTTAAACTTCCAAAGAATCACTTTTAGGCTTACAAAAATAAGTATTTGCCAAAATGTTCAATAAATATAACATAAAAGTAGCAGCAAAAAGTATCTAGAAATCTGTCATGTGCAAATAGTTTTCTTCCCAACTATCGTTCCCATGGTCCCAAATAGATTTTAGAATCTAGTCCCATCCCCTTCCTAGACAAGCTGTCTTCAACAATCTCCAAGAGACAAAATAATATTGGAAGTATAAGGACATGCACACAAGATATATATATATATATATATATATATGTATATATATATATATATATATAATTCTCTGAATGTGCAATAAAAGAAGTACTTTGTAAAAAGTTATGGGCAAAATGTACCAGGGCCTAAACCTAGACTAATTGAAATAGCACCATAACAAATGACCTCAATACTGTCAAGCACACCTACTTCATAAAAGTTTTAGAACAAGGCACAATACACTTGAAAATCTATTGCACTTTAGGAAAATTTTGCCATCTTCCTATGCCACTGTAAAAAGATTGAGCATTTTGATCACTGCATTCTGGCCACAAAATTAGCACAGAATTCAAAAGTGGCAGAGGCATTTTAGTGGTGGACAATGCTCATCTTTGGCCAGATTTAGCATAAATAGACTATAAATACAATGGAAACCCATGCAACTAAAACTGACTAAAACTGCACTGTATAGCAGAATTGACACCTTGTGCAGTTATGTACATACTTCCAACCTGTGTGATCTCAAAGATTTCAGTTTGTCACTCTTCTGGAGCCACTTTTACAAAGTCTATTGTAAGACAGTTTAACATCTCAACAGAGCTTGAACAGAGTAATATGAATCAGCATTTAAAAGAAAGCCTGCTGCATTTAATTCTTCCTGTTCATACCCTCTTGACCAGAAAACATCAACACTAGCATGCGTTATTAGATCAACAATCACCCAGGGCCCTAACAAGGGCTGGTCACTGCTGTGGTCAGCCATTCTACCATTTCAATTTCATTTATGGCAGGCATTTAAAAAGTCTAAGTAGATGAATTCTCCTAAAATCCTATCTCAAGTTATCAGACTCTTAAACTTTCCCTGTAATATTATGCCCACATTTGGCTAGCTCATAATTAACGATCTGCCTAACCACTGAAAAATTACTGTATTTACTTGCATTACATTTGAAAACAGTGCTTTGTAAGAGGGTTCCCTTTTCTCCACACCCTCTCCAGCATTTATTGCTTGTAGACTTTTGGATAGCAGCCATCCTGACTGGCGTGTAATGGTACCTCATTGTGGTTTTGATTTGCATTTCTCTGATAATGAGTGATGTTGAGCATCTTTTCATGTGTTTTTTAGCCATCTGTATGTCTTCCTTGGAGAAATGTCTGTTTAGTTCTTTGGCCCATTTTTTCATGCAAACTAGTATAGCCACTATGGAAAACAGTGTGGAGATTTCTTAAAAAACTGGTAATAGATCTACCATATGACCCAGCAATCCCACTTCTGGGCATACACACCGAGGAAACCAGATCTGAAAGAGACACGTGCACCCCGATGTTCATCGCAGCACTGTTTATAATAGCCAGGACATGGAAGCAACCTAGATGCCCATCAGCAGATGAATGGATAAGGAAGCTATGGGACATATACACCATGGAATATTGCTCAGCCATTAAAAAGAATTCATTTGAATCAGTTCTAATGAGATGGATGAAACTGGAGCCCATTATACAGAGTGAAGTAAGCCAGAAAGATAAAGACCATTACAGTATACTAACACATATATATGGAATTTAGAAAGATGGTAACGATAACCCTATATGCAAAACAGAAAAAGAGACACAGATGTATAGAACAGACTTTTGGAGTCTGTGGGAGAAGGCGAGGGTGGGATGTTTCAAGAGAACAGCACCGAAACATGTATATTATCTATGGTGAAACAGATCACCAGCCCAGGTTGGTCCGAGTGCTCGGGCCTGGTGCACTGGGAAGACCCAGAAGGATCGGGTGGAGAGGGAGGTGGGAGGGGGGATCGGGATGGGGAATACATGTAAATCCATGGCTGATTCATGTCAATGTATGACAAAAACCACTACAATATTGTAAAGTAATTAGCCTCCAACTAATAAAAAAAAAAAAGAAAACAGTGCTTTGAATGTATGCATGTATTCATACATCACCTCATCATGACTGGAATGGCTTGTTTAAAGACTATCAGGTTCTAAATATCTAACCAGGATAGAGTGAACAAATCAGAACCTTAACTTAATACAGTTCACCACATTAGAAACTAATTCCATTAATAGGCTTCAAAGACATTTGTTGTTTGTTTCCCCCCAATCTGCAAATATCAAAAAGCCCTAATGCAGGCTACTGCTTAGGTTTTTTTCCTTACAATATTTATGGATGAATTGATGATTCCTGTTAAGTTGTATCACATCTGTGTACCAAGGTTTGATTTTAGCCCAAGTTCATTAAATTTATTTTGTCAAAAACAATTGATATCTTGAGCATTACTGAGCCAACAGGACATCAAAATAAAAAGTTGTATAAAGTTAAAGGCCAGTACATTAACAAACAAATGAGTCTCAGTCACAAATTATAAATGCAGTTTGGGATGGGGGTTGGGAGGGGAGTTAATCCAAACTACAGCAATGAAGTCTTCAAACCACCTTATGAATAGGGCTGCTGATTGTTCCTTTTGACTCTTCATGTGACCTTGAGCTCCCTTAAAAAAAAATCATTGGAGAATCACAGCTGGTAATATACTGTGAGTTCTTGAAGCTACACAAGGTATAGTCTGGCTAAGTTACATGTGGTTTCCATATTAGCTTGTTTGACAGGGTGACCTACTGCAAAGCAGGTTCAGTTACCCCACCAGTCAACCCCCTGGGAGTTATAATTTCCTCCAATTCCATCACTGTTGTAAAAGCCTCTATAGCCACCTCCACCAAACCCTCTGCTGCTTCCATGGCCACCTCCACCACTGTGGCTGCTGCTGGTGTGGCTGCTGCTGAAGCTGGAACTGCTGCCACCACTACTCTGTCGATAGTCTCTGGCACCAAATCCTCCACTGAATCTACTACTTTTGGATCATCCATGACTGTTACCCTTGTAGTGGTATTCATAAGCCATGTTTTGTAGCCAAAATGGCACTTCCCGTTTAGCTTCAACAAGAAGATCCAACAAATCCTTGGTAATACTTATGTTCCTCTCATTAAAGAATGAGGTGGCAAGGCCAAGGTATCCTACAAATCTTATACAGCCAATGAAATGTACATATTCTTCAATATCACTTGGCAAGTCAAAATTGATAACGTTTCCCATTTGATATGTCCAGTCCTCTTGCTGTTGTAGCCATGAGAATCGGGCTTTTTCCTGAGCAAAACTAGTAAAGGGCCTCTTCTCTATCTCTCAGAGATTGGTCTGCATGAATACTGGTACAAGCATATCCTTCATGGTATAAGAAATCCTCTAGAGAATCTGCACCCTTTTTGATCTCCACAAACACTAAGGTCAGTGAATCTTTGCCTGTTGCATTTAGAAGGTCAAGCAGAAATGACTGTTTGTCTGACTCTTCCACCCAAACTACTTTCTGTGTGATGTTCTCAGAGGTAGAGCCAACTCTTCCTATGGCCAAAAAGATATATTCATCAAAGAAATCATGAGCAAGCATCTGTATTTCCTTAGGGAAGGTAGCACTAAACATCATAGTGTGGTGAACTCCCTTTGGTGAGTATCTTGTTCAACGATTCTATGTATTTGAGATTCAAACCCCATATCCAACATCCGATCAGCTTCACCTAACACCAAGTATTTGCAGAAGTCTAATCAAATTTTCCCTCTTTCCATCATATCCACTAGACGTCCTGGAGTGTTAACTAACAAATGGCATCCACATTCTAAGTCTAAAATTTGCTGACCAATATCAGCACAACAATAAACCACACAAGGATGAACTCTAGATTGGTATGAAAATTTCCTGGCTTCCTCATAAATCTGTATGGCTAATTCTCTAGTTGGTGCTAACACCAAAGAGATTGGTTATTGCTTGCAGTGCCCGTATCTTCCATTTTCCTTCATGGCCCTAAGAGCCTGGCCTGGACCCACAAAATAAATCTGACTTAAGATGGGCAAGAGAAATGCTGTAGTTTTTCCAGACCCTGTGTGGGCACAGGTCATCAAGTCACTCTTCTCTTTGATAATAGGAATAGCACGCTTTTGCACTGGAGTTGGGCAAGTGTAACGAGTAAGCTCAATGTTTCCCATAATAATTTCTCCCATCTAACATCACTGAAACTTTCAATGTGTGGAGGACAGTTGTTGCCTGTTGCCTCAACTGAATGTCCTCATATTTTTCAAAGTTAACCCCAGTGTTGCCTCCAGGAAAGTTCTTGTTCCAAGCACTCATTTGGTGGGAGTGGCTTTGGCCAATCATCTTCATCTGATTTGTCACACCAGCGACTATTTCCACATTCATACTTGCCAAAACCACCTCTGCCACCACGACTGTCAAAGTTGTCATAGTCACCTCATCCACGATCACCGAACCTTCCCCTTGATCTGCTTCCAGGATCACTGAAGAAACTAGACTTCCCTCTTGAATCACTATGGGAACCAAAACTGCTGTATGCATCCTTATCTTTACTGGAACTCCATCCTGAACTGTCTTTATCATAGAATTCTTTAGTAGCTTCTCTGTTCCTTAAGTGAGGAGGAATATAGTACCCTTTGCTGGTTATACTTCCTCCATTCTGATTATATGATGAGTTTGGGTCCAGGCCAGCAAACTGCTGGTCTAGCCCAAGTGCATTTCCCACTGCCACACGACTCATCCCTGAAGAGTATGGAGAACTCGGAGTCTCCCGCTGCTGAGCTAATGTGTTGGGTTCAACACGAAGGCCCTCTCACAGGAGAACTGTGGCTCTGATGATGCTTTTGTTTTGACAGAGTATATAAAACAGTGACCCGGAGTTATTTTGGAAAAATATGGAGCATGTCAATCACATTTTTATATTGCTATCATTACCCTTGTGTTCATCAGTGTACTCATTTGTAAAATGCAGATAAGTTTTAGTGCCTGAGATTTTGGGGTCCTTTGTTAGCACAGCATAACCTAGCCTATTTTGACATACGTGAGCAAAAGACACTTATAGAACCAGAGTGGTAGGATGGTGGAATTTCTCAGGAGCTCGGTCTTCAACAGGACCCATTAGGAGGAACATGTACTCAAGGATGCATGAAAAAGTGGCAGGAAGTCCAAGAGGCAGATTAAGCTTTGAGGGCCTGAAATCCAAAAAGGAACTAAAAAGGCTAATTTTTGCCCTGTTTCAGGAGGATAATGAACACTCCATTTTCTCCAAGTGTTTTAAGATTAACGAGGATGGAAAGCAGAACTACTCATCTCCACCAGGGGAAGGTGTGCAGACTGGAAAAGTGAGAACATCTCCAAAGATCTTCTGTTGTGGTCTTTTTCATCACAGAAATGACTCCACCTTTGAAATCACTAGCTCAAGCATCCTGTTTTTTGCCCACAATTCCCTTTCCTTTCAGACACTGGTTCAAATCCTATTTTCCAATCTCATTGACCACTACCCCCACGTTCTTAATTTTTCATATTCAGCTAAGAGACTCCAAGACCATTATTTTTATAACATTTCTAAAGTCTCTGGACCTCTGTCTTTTCATTATTCACTTAGCAACAAACCCAGCTTTTGACTTTTCCATGACATGGAACAACAGACTGGTTCCAAACAGGAAAAGGAGTATGTCAAGGCTGTATATTGTCACCCTACTTATTTAACTTATATGCAGAGTACATCATGAGAAACGCTGGGCTGGAGGAAGCACAAGCTGGAATCAAGATTGCCAGGAGAAATATCAATAACCTCAGAGATGCAGAATGACATCACCCTTATGGCAGAAAGTGAAGAAGAACTAAAGAGCCTCTTGATGAAAGTGAAAGTGGAGAGTGAAAAAGTTGGCTTAGAGCTCAACATTCAGAAAACTAAGATCATGGCATCTGGTCCCATCACTTCATGGCAAATAGATGAGGAAACAGTGGAAGCAGTGGCTGACTTTACTTTTCTGAGCTCCAGAATCACTGTGGATGGTGATTGCAGCCATGGAATTAAAAGATGCTTGCCCCTTGGAAGGAAAGTTATGACCAACCTAGACAGCATATTAAAAAGTGGAGACATTACTTTGCCAACAAAGGTCCATCTAGTCAAGGCTATGGTTTTTCCAGTGGTCATGTATGGGTGTGAGAGTTGGACTATAAACAAAGCTGAGCGCCAAAGAATTGATGCTTTTGAACTGCAGTGGTGAAGAAGATTCTTGAGAGTCTCTTGGCCTGCAAGGAGATCCAACCAATCCATCCTAAGGAGATCAGTCCTGGGTGTTCAGTGGAGGGACTGATGTTGAAGCTGAAACTCCAGTACTTTGGCTACCTGATGTGGAGGGTTGACTCATTTGAAATGACTCTGATGCTGGGAAAGATTGAGGGCAGGAGGAGAAGGGGACAACCGAGGATGAGATGGTTGGATGGCATCACTGACACAGTGGACATGGGTTTGGGTGGACTCCGGGAGTTGGTGATGGACAGGGAGCCCTGGCGTGCTATGGTTCATGGGGTCGCAAAGAGTCGGACATGACTGAGCAACTGAACTGAATTGTGTGCCCACGAACACTATTGCAAGAAGTTTCCCCAAAGGACAGATTAGCATCAAGATAAAGTCATCACCTCAAATGGTCCCCAATAGCCTGTGTTTTTCATGTCCATGCAGTTCCAGCCTCGTGTTAATTGTGTCTATTTCAAACCTTCTCTGGATAGAGGTCTACTCTCTTATCCCTCTTTGCCCTCCACCCACCTCTCCATTCTAAACAGATGATCTTACTTCCTACTTCATAGAGAAAGTGAAATGGTTGGACAACCTCACTTTTCAACTATAAGACCCATGTATTCACTTACTTCTGTACCCATCTTCTCCTTTGCAAGGATATTATTTTCCTATATTAACCTATAACTTTTTCCTTGTTTTCACTTTTCCTTTCTCCCTTTTTTAATCAAGTAGGTGGCTCTGTGCTCACTGGTAGGGAGAGATGTGGCTAGACAGAATGTAAAAGGTCGCTGCTTTCTCCTTTCAAAAGCCTAAACTCTGGTACTGGAGAGTGTGGTAGATTTTTTAAAACAACCACAAAATCTCTCCCTCCTCTTTTCATGTTCTTTGGTAGTGCCTTCCCACACTGACTCTAGGATGGCCTTGTGACTTGCATTGGCCAAGGTGACATTAACAAATATGACATGAGCAGAGGCTTGAAAAATGCTTCCACCATGGGGACTGCCCTCTTGTTGCCCTTGGGAACTCTGGGATCACTGTGTGAAGAAGCTTGGGCTAGCCACATGGCTCAGAGAATAGGTCATCCCAGCTGAGGCTCCCAGACCAACCAGCATGCTAATGCCACACAGGTGAGGGAGGATATCTTAGATCAGTGCTTCTCAAACTGTAATGTACACATAAACCACCAGGTGATCTTGCAAAAAACCAGAAACTGATTGATTAGGCCTAGAGTGGGACTAGAGCGCCTACATTTCCAATAAGTTCCTGGGTGCTGTTGGTCTGAGAAGCAAGCTTTGCAAAGATGTGACAGGGACTTTCCTGACAGTCCAGTGGTTAGTACTCTGTGCTTCCACTGCAGGGGGCCCAGGTTCAACTCCTGGTTGGGGAACTAAGATCCCGCATGCCACACAGCATGGCTGGACATGCTCCAGCCCCATTTGATTTGACCTAAACAAGAGAACCACCAAGCTGACCCATACTATGTCATAGTAGTAGTGTTAGTTGCTCAGTCGTGTCTGACTCTTTGTGACCCCATGGACTGTAGTCCACCAGGCTCCTCTGTCCATGGAACTCTCCAGGCAAGAATACTGGAGTGGGTAGCCATTCCCTTCTCCAGGGGATCTTCCCAACCCAGGAGTCGAACCCGGGTCTCCTGCATTGTAGGCAGATTCTTTACCATCTGAGCCACCAGGGAAGAGCTATGAACAATAATAAATGTGGATTTTAAGATGCTAAGTTTTAGGGAGCTGTTACATGGCAAAAGCTAGCTGATACAGAAGTATGAGAACTTAGATAAAACATCTTGGAAAAGCAGAGGAAACAGCAGT